ACGTTGATGGTGGAAAATGAACTTGATTTTCTGTTGTATTAGACCTATAAGATTCCGTATTTTTCTTCAGGACCTGTCTTGCTGTCGTGTGAACACGTTGATAGTATCACTGAATGTCACAATATTGATCACTGTGACTACCTGTCTTGGAAACTGTGACTTGAAGTGTCAGAGGCTCTGTGAACTCTTCTGCCTGAACAAGCCCTGATGAAACCCAGTGATGCGAATGTCAGGAGAATCTAAGGCTCTGTGTTACATGCTGGGTTTATGGAGCGGTTCTTGACAGATGGATTGAAGGGGGCGGTACTAGCAGTTCTGGAGGCCTGGCACATTGGCTTATTGTTTATAGAAATATATTAAGAAGAAAAGAAGAGTTGATAAGTTATTAATTTTTTTCTCCCTCTCTCCCTTCCATCTTTGTTCTTTCCAGCTTTCTTTTTTCATTTCCCGGATTTTTTCCCCTGTCTTTTAACTCTCATTAACTTATCAGTGAATGATGAATGGCCAATTTGTGGAATTTAGCCCTTTCTCAAAGCTTCAGGATAATGTTCCAATATAGTTAGCTATATTTAAAGATCTCCATTATATGTGAATACCTTTGAAAATATCAAATCATATATGCCATTATAACCTTCATCAATGACCAGCAGAAGTCACCACCTCTTTGTTTAAAACACATAGTAGTAAAAATATAGGCTCATCTCCTGTGGAGATGAGAGGATATCCTTTGTATAGTTTGACATTGAGAACTTTGCATGATACCACACAGCTAGGATTTTTGAAATATTTTCGACAGATTCCCTTGCTGCCACCCAGAAGTGGTACTGACCTAGATCCGGGGTCCCAGTGAAGTCATGTGAGTTCTGTGTTTGCCAGAGCTGCAAGACTCAACTAGAACGAGACTGGATGGTGAGACTTAGAAAAGCCAACTAATGTGCACAGCAGCTCTCCTTTACTAGCCAGTCCATGGTAGAGCCTGCAGGGCCTCCACACCCAAGGAGCACCTCTGCTTTAGAGCCCACCTGGCTTTCAGTTACTGGTTTCTAAGTGCAGTCATCTATGTTTAAGTGACAGAGGCATCAGTGCTTCCTCCAAACCTTGATGTAAAAAATTTTTTTCACAGATAGCCGCAGACATGTCTAACTCCACACATGTGGCATTCTAATCTGGTGAACACAGCAAGGAGTAAGGGACAATTCATTTCTGAGTAGCAGTTTGACATATCAAAGCTGTCTTTTTTTTTTTTTTTTTTTTGAGACAGAGTCTTGCTCTGTCACCAGGCGCCAGGCTGGAGTGCGGTGGCGCAATCTCGGCTCACTGCAATCTCCACCTTCTGGGTTCAAGCAATTCTCCTGCCTCAGCCTCCCGAGTAGCTGGGACTACAGGCGCACGCCACCATACCCAGCTAATTTTTGTATTTTTTAGTAGAGACAGGGTTTCACCATGTTGGCCAGGATGGTCTCAATCATTTGACCTCGTGATCCGCCCTCCTCGGCCTCCCAAAGTGCTGGGATTACACAAAGCTGTCTTTTAAAGAAAACTTTAGGCCTGGCGCGGTGGCTCACGCCTATAATCCCAGCACTTTGGGAGGCCAAGGAGGGTGGATCACGAGGTCAAGATATCGAGACCATCCTGGTCAACAAGGTGAAACCCCATCTCTACTAAAAATACAAAAACTAGCTGGACATGGTGGCGCGCGCCTGTAGTCCCAGCTACTCGGGAGGCTGAGGCAGGAGAATTGCTTGAACCCAGGAGGCGGAGGTTGCGGTGAGCCAAGATCGCACCATTGTACTTCCAGCCTGGGTAACAAGAGTGAAACTCCGTCTCAAAAAAAAAAAAAAAAGAAAACTTTACCCAGCTCATATGATCTGACCTGTAATGCAGAGCTCTTTCTCTTTCTTTTTGCTTTTTTTCCCCTCCTCTCAATGTAAGTGTGCAAGTATTTTGATCATGTTCTCCCCGCCAACCTCCACCCCGAGCTTCCACGGCTTTGTTTCAGGCCCTGGGGGAGGAGCAGTTGTGAATGCACTGTGACTCACTTGACTCCCACGCTGCTGATTCTGGTTCTGATTGGTCGTCACCTTGCTCGAGCCATATGGCTGATGAGTAGTACTCTAGCTCGCATCCCTTGCTCCTGCTTTCCCCTACTGTTGCCTTTGGTTGTACACAACATTGGGAGCGGGTTCTGGGCTTTGTTTCTTGCTTCTAGTTTACTTTAGTTAGGCAATGAGTAGGAGAGCACACTGTATTTCCTAAGGATGGCTGTAGAGGAGAAAAAACACCCTTTCCTTTTGTGACTGGTATAGTAATTAGTTTCCTGTGCTGTTTTTGTTCAAAGTTTGTTTTTTGGCAGTTGTCACGTTTATGTTGTATTATTTCCTCCTTATTTTTCCCCTTCCTCTGTTTTGATCTGTTTTGGATTTTTCGTTGTTGTTTTTGTTTTATAAGAGCTGTTGGGGTTTCTCTCTCTGGCTGCTGATGCTGCATGTTAGCTAGTTCATTAATATGCTTGATTTCTGATAGGGAGGAGGACTGAAAGCAACTCTAAATAATTATTTAATTTTTAAATGTCTAAATGTTCTGGCAGCCACAAAGCAATAAAATCTACATGAGATTCTCAACATTATCTGCAGCACCACTGCTATTACTTTGCCTTCTCCTAAACTACAGCAGTTCAATTATTCTGCCTTTTATATTTGAGAAATAGAATTTTGAAGACTTGAAAGTTAATTTTTATAAGTATTTGATATTTTATTAATTTGCATTTTTATTATTTTGCAGATGGTTTCTGCAAATACTTCAAACTCTGCATCATTTTTTAAAAAATATTTACTCAGAGAGGCAGTTCTAGCAGAGCATAATGTGTAACAGAATTTTTCCCCCCAAAATTGGCCTTTATATATTTTAGTTGTCTGAAAAGAATCAATAATAAAAATATTTTTTTAAAAACCTCTCACCCAGTCATGGTGGCTTACATCTGTAATCCCAGCACTTTGGGAGTTTGAGACCAGCCTAGGCAACATGACAAAACCCCGTCTCTACATAAAATTAGCTGGGCGTGGTGGCACGCACTTGTAGTTCCAGCTACTTAGTAGGCTGAAGTGGGAGGATCACTTGAGCCTGGGACACGGATGTGGCAGTGAGCCAAGATCATGCTGCTGCACTTCAGCCTGGGTGACAGAGCCAGACCCTGTTTCAAAAAATAAAAATAAAAATAGAAAAACCCAAAAAATAAACAAACAAAAAGCAACTCTCAAGATAACATTTTTTTTTTCACTTAAAGGTTTTAGAAATTTGTTATGTAAATATTTTAATGTTCAAATATGTTAAATGAGTAATCCACAGATTTAGATTCTTTAGAGAATATGGGAGGAAAAGTTGTTTAGAGCCATAAGCAGGCATTTGAATATTAACCTGGCTCTGATGGTTTCACCTAATTATTTAAAGCTCTTTGTTCATTTCTTTTTCTTCATTCATAATCTATATTAGAGAGAGCCAAGATCGTGCCACTGCACTCCAGCCTGGGTGACAGAGCGAGAGTCTGTCTCAAAAAAATGAAAAAAGAAAAAAGAAAATCACAATCTATTTTTATCAGGAATAGCACACCTCCACTAATGAACTAACTGGAAAGTATATGAGATAGGAGAGGAATGCTGCTTATACCTTCTTCCTGCCATTAGGGCAGGAGAGTCATAGCCCAAATATGGCCCCAAATAGTTATTATATACTTTATGAGCCATTTGCTGGTCTTTGGCCCCACCACTTTATACATCATGTAAAGAGAACAAGGACATTTATTCAGCAATATAGTTCTAAGTGCAGACCATAGTTGTGAACAAAATAAGCCCCTGCCCTCATGGGGCTTACATTCTGTTGAAATGTATTGTAGTAATGAAGGTATCCAGAAACACGTTTCTCTTGGATTTGAGCAAGACCTAGAAAATGTGAAGAACTTTGACTTAAATTTCCACTCTATGCAGTTAAATCCCTACTCTGCCTAAACAAACGTGTGTACTTCCACAGATCCTGTTCTGGCAAAGAAGTCCTGCTCATGAATTGCACATTTCAGTAACTTAGAATGTCTGTTGTTTATATGACATATTACTGGGATCAAGGTTTCTTTGTTTAACAGTCTGTTTAATGTTTTCAACTGGGACAGATATATGATGTTTGCTTAATAAAAATTACTATGGATAGTTTCTGTGTTATCATATGTAGAAAATACTAAGCTGGACACAGTGGTGTGTGCTTGTAGTCCCAGTTACTTGGGAGGCTGAAGTGAGAAGATTGCTTGATCCCAGGAGTTATGGGGACTGGGGAAGGAGCAGTAGTACACTATGTACTGCAAGGCTGTAGTGCATTATGACTACACCTATGAATAGCTACTGTACTCCAACCTGGGCAATATAGAGAGAACCTATCTCTAAAAATAAAAATAATAATAATAATGACCAACAATATGCCAATCACAGTTCTGAGTACTTTCCATAAAACAAGTCATTTGGTGCACATAAGAACCCCAAAGGTACTGTTAACCACCTCATTTTAAAGAACAAGACAGTAAGACACAGGTAGGTTCATAAACTTACCCAACATCTTATAGCTGTGAGTAGCAAAACTGAAATTGGAGTTGAAGTAGGATGACTCCAGAGCCCTGCTTTTTACTGCTACATTCTATACTGCCATCAGCATGCTGAGTTAATAATGGTCAGGAAATACGAGCTCTGCTATGTGATCTCCTTCAGGTTTTTTATTTGTGTGCCTCAGTTACCCTTTATATATAAAACATTTCTTATACCATCAGTTTCATATTAGCAATAGTGTATATTAATTACTTTAAGTTCTTCATATGTAGAATCTGTATAAATTTAGATATAATAAGTTTTAGATGAAGCTAGTTATAGGAAAGATGTCAGAGAAATATAAATGCTGCATATTTTCTATTTAGCTGATAGAACAGTATTCTAATATATTTTATTTCTTTTTGTCTTCATTGGTAGAAAAGAGTAGTTGAACAGCTACGGAAGAACCTGATAGTAAAGCAAGAACAACCGGACAAGTTCCAAATACAGCCATTGCCACAATCTGAAAACAAACTACAAACAGCACAGCAGCAACCACTACAGCAACTACAACAGCAGCAGCAGTACCACCACCACCACGCCCAGCAGTCAGCTGCAGCTTCTCCCAACCTGACTGCTTCACAGGTAAACGTGTGGATGGAATGTTGCAGGCTGCAGGTTGTAGACTGATTTGTTATTGGTCATGTAGAACCGAGTCCTATCTCAGACTATACTAAGCTCAACTAAAACTAAATGAAAGTTATTTTCATTCCTTTTTTTGTAGTATAACCCAGATAAGTATCACTTGAAATCATTGGCAGAAGGAAATAACATTACTAAGAGACAAAAATTAATGATCTCCCACCTGTCAGAAGAAGGGGAGAAAGGTAGTCAATAACAAAGAAAAATCACTTCTCTGCATTACAGCAGAATTAAAATCTTATTTTGAATTTTTGGAGGTATTTATTGACACTTGTTCTAAAAGTTTGTGACTTGACCTCTTCTGGAATTGCTTTTCTGGAATTCTTAGCAAGTAGGCATAGAGCTATTCCAGGTTCAGTGCTCTTGGGACCAGATAGAAAGAAGCATTCAGAAGGCTGTTATGGCTGGGCGCAGTGGCTCAGATCTGTAATCCCAACGCTTTAGGATGCCGAGGCAGGCAGATCACTTGAGGTCAGGAGTTTGAGACCAGCCTGGCCAACACAGCAAAACCTCATCTCTACTAAAAATACAAAAATACTAGGCAGGTGTGGTGACATGCGCCTGTAATCCCAGTTACTTGGCAGGCTGAGGCAGGAGAATCACTTGAACCCAGGAGGCAGAGGCTACATACAGTGGGCTGAGATCATACTACTGCACGCCAATCTGGGCAACAGAGCAAAACTCAGTCTCAAAAAAAAAAAAAAAAGAGTGCTATATTTGCACTATTGATAGAAACATTCATTTTTAAGTTGATATTCATGAGAAAATGAATTTGTTCTAATACATTAATGGGAATCTGAAATGAAAGCTACAGATCAAAACTAAAGAAGTGGGAGCTTAATAAAATTCTAACTTGGTGTAGTTGTGCAAACGTTTTTACTGAAAAGGGCATTTAAGCGTATAATGTAAGAATAGTGAGGCAATCAAGACACACAAAAAGGACATATTTGGAAATGATATTCCAAATGATGCTTAGATCCTTGAAGGTCGCAGATCCCCTTATGACTGTTGAAAGCTCTAGATCCCTCTCCAGAAGAATATACATTCACACTTATTACACTCATTTTTGTACACTTCAAGGATTTTGGGATCCTCTGAAACCTAAGCATGGCTACCTCTTAAAACCAACACCAGGTCTCTGCCGTGGTTTTATATGTAGAGAAACAGAGTATAGTTCACTTGGCTGTTCACTGTTTATGAACATTGAATTGGTTCATGTGCGACATTTTGCAAATAAAGAATGAATTTTTTGTGAGAACACTAAAGATAAGTTAACATTTAACAGAGGTTACTGTATACTGGCAGTCTCCTAAGTGCTTATGTATATAATAGACATACTCCTTACCCTAATCCTAAGAGGAAGATATTATTATTACCATTTCTGCTTTTTTTTTTAGACTGAGCCTCACTCTATAACCCAGGCTGGAGTGCAGTGGCATGAGCTTGGCTTGGCTCACTGCAGTCTCCGCCTCCCGGGTTCAAGCAATTCTTCTTCCTCATTCTCCTGAGTAGCTGGGACTATAGGCACGTGCCACCACGCCCGGCTAATTTTTATATTTTTAGTAGAGACAGGGTTTCACCATATTGGCCAGGCTGATCTCAAACTCCTGACCTTGTGATCCGCCGGCCTTGTCCTCCCAAAGTGCTGGGATTGCAGGTGTGAGCCACTATGCCTGGCTCACCATCTCTGTTTTTTAGAAGGGAAAACTAAGGCACAAAGAGTTTACATAATTTACCTCAGGCCATGGAGTGTAGTATGTGGTGGAGCTAAGATTTGAACCTAGACATTCTGCGTTCTGGCTGAAAAATATGTCCATTCAACTACTCTTCTATACTGCCATTCAATCCAAAAAAAGCAATGCCAATATTGCATAAAACCAAAGAAGGAGAAAGAAAAATCCCCGTTATAAATCAGATCACTAGGACAGCCTAAATAATTTTTACCTTAATCACCACCCCAAGGCTATTTGGAAATTAGGCATTCAAAACTGACTTTAAAAATCCCCTTACCAGCACTTGTATTCGTTCTGAAAGAATGCTTAGAGGATAATTTTTGTTTAAGTTTTAAACAGAATTGGGTTAGGTTGTTCTCTTTCCAAAGTACAGTTTGATCAGAAAATGTTCACCTGGAAGGAGTGTGGTAGAATTCATTGTTTCCTGTTACACAGGAGTTTTCTGTCTTAACCCATGGAAACATTCTGTGTAAGTAACATTTTATGTTATCAAAATCAAAGGAGGCTGGGCACGGTGGCTCACACCTATAATCCCAATACTTTGGGAGGACAAGGCTGGTGAATTACGAGGTCAGGAGTTTGAGACCAGCCTGGCCAACATGGCAAAACTCCATCTCTACTAAAAATACAAAAATTATCCAGGCATGGTAACCTACACCTGCAATTCCAGCTCCACAGGAGGCTGAGGCATAAGAATCACTTGTACCAGGGTGACAGGTTGCAGTGAGTCAAGATCATGTCACTGCACTCCACGCTGGGCGACAGTGTGAGACTCCATCTCAAAAAAAAAAAAAAATCAAAGGAAGCATTTCCAAAATACTTGTAATAGCTTTTCCTTTTCCTGGTAGTCTGTGTTGCTTTGGGATGGTGGATGGTGAGAGGTCTAGGGTTACCTCCAAAACAGTGTTGTATAGCACCTAAGGGTGCCTCTCCATCCAGTAGCCTGCCCGATATATTTAATTGATATTTAATTTGCCAATGTTTTAAAAATATTCTTTTATTTAATGCAGATGTTTAATGTTAAAAACCAAAAGGATCCTCTAAGCTTTTGGGTTTTGAGTTTACAGTAAACTACCAATCTGATTTTTTTTTTTTTTTTGAGATAAGATCTGGCTCTTTCTTCTAGGCTGGAGTGTAGTGGCACAGTCTCAGTTCACTGAAACCCCTGCCTCAAGCCAACCTCCCACCTCCGCCTTCCAGATAGCTGGGACTACAGGCACAGGCCACCATGGCCAGCTAATTTTTGTATTTTTAATAGAAATAGGGTTTCACCATGTTTCACCGTCTCAAACTCCTGAGTTCAATTGATCCACCTACCTTGGTCTCCCACAGTGTTGGGATTAAAGATATGAGCCACTGTGCTTGGCAGTACCAGTCTATTTACTAAACATACTCTATATGCTCAATTCTGATATACAAAGAACAGTGGTCCCTGCCAAAAATCTGGTATATCGTGATTAGTAATTTTTATTTGTTCTATAAATATTTATGAAGTTCCTACTGTGTGCAAGCACTGTTTTAGGTAATGTGGAGGCTAAATGCACAAATTAGAGAGTTTTCAAGAATTTTAAAAATTTAAGATGTAGAGGAAGTTTGAAGACACTGATTTTTGACTAGAGGGATCAGAAAGTACTTTTCAAGGAGGGTTGCATCTGAGCAGGGTCCTGACAGATGAATGGAATTTGAGTTTCATAGGTGCAGAGAACAGTATGAACAAGAGGATGGAGTCAAAAAGGTAAATACATGCCCTGGGAATCGCAAGTAGGCTGGTATGGTTGGAATGTGGGATCCATGAAACGATGGAGAGGAGATAAGGCCAACCCTCCAAAGCATGCCAAAACTTCTGGGTTTCTTAACAGTCATAGGGAAGTGAGGGCAAGGACAAATGGGAGGTTACATATGGCATGTATTGAATACACAGTTTCAGGAAGAATTAAATATTAAGTAGTAATCAGTAAGTTTGTTATTCTAAGTTGGGTGATTGGCATATACCAAGGCACAGAGGAAGCAATGAGGAATTCTTTTTGGAAGGAGGAATGGGGACAGTGCTTTACTTAGTTAACAGCAACTCGTGCTTGTATGCATATTTTGAAAGTTTTCCAATCTACAGAAAAAGTGAAAGAATAGAACAGTTAAATACAGGTATACTCTCCAACCTATATTCACAGCCCTCTCATTTTTAATGGCATAATGCAAATGTAAAGAAGAGAGCAGTTAATAAAACAAATAGAAGAGAAACCTTTGTAAACAAAAGAGGGAGAGGGGTTCTTTTTGTGGTTGTTTGAGTATACAACAGTGACTGCATTCAAAATTAAACAAGCAAAATAATCTAAAATAGATGTGGAAGTTAGTTAGATTTCGTAGTAATAATCCCTTAAATTCTGATTTGGATTTCATCTGTTTTACATTATGTCTTTTCTTTGAGACAGAGTCTCACTGTATTACCTAGGCTGGAGTGCAATGGTGCAATTACAGCTCACCTCGGCCTTGACATCCCAGGCCTAGGTGATCCTCCCACCTCAACCTCTCAAGTAGCTGGGACTATGGGTGTGTATCACCATGCCCAGCTAATTTTTATATTCTTTGTAGAGGTGGGGTTTCACTATATTGCCAACTGTTCTCAAACTCCTAGGCTTAAGTGATCCACCCCTTGGCCTCCCAAAGTGCTGGGATTACAGGCATGACCTACTGTGTCCAGCTTGAGTCCATCTGTTCTAAATCAATACTTCATACTTGACAGGTAAACAACAAGAACAAATGAATAAGTAAAAAGGATTTTGCTGTTAGCACTATTTGCTATGCCATGCGTTTCTGCATTAACTTCTAGCTCATGCAATTTAGGTTTTGTCAAAATAAAGAACCCCTTCATGAAACTGTGGAGAAACAGCTACCTTCTCTACAAGGTAATCATACTTAGCCACTGTTAACTAGCTAAAAACAAATCACAACTTTCATAAAAATAAATCTCTTGGCTGGATGTGGTGGCTTATGCCTGTAATCCCAACACTTTGGGAGGCCAAGGCGGGAGAATTACCTGAGGCCAGGAGTTCTAGACCAACCTGGGCAACATAGTGAGACCATGTCTCTACTAAAAATAAAAAAAAAATTACTGGTGTGGTAGCACCCACCTGTAGTCCCAGCTACTCAGGAGGCTGAGGCGGGAGGATTACTTGAGTCCAGGAGGTCAAGACTGCAATGAGCCATGATTGCACTACTGCACTCTAGCCTGGGTGATAGAGCAAGACCTGTCTCAAAAATAAATAAATAATAGTAATTTGTTGTTGGACACCTTTCTTCTCTATGTCTCTTCTTTCTCCTTTTAGAACAGTTCAGACATTTTCATTAGGCTTATTTCAAAGTTCTAAATTCCCTTTGTCATCTGAACTATAACACCCCAGAAGTTTGGTTTGTTTCCCTAATATTAGGAAAAGAAGAAGCACCAGACTAGGGGTAAAAATCTAAGCACTTCCTGTGTCCTGGTGTCAGTAAATGGTAAAGACATTCTTCAAAAAGTTTTTACTGAAGCATACAGTACTGGGTCCCCTGCCTAACTATAAACAGTTATATAGATGCTGGAAATCGTGTAGTGAAATAAGCCATAACCATCGTTGTATAAAAGAAAACTGCTAACCTAAGATGTGAACAAACTTAATAGGTTTCAGTGTTTTTAAAGTGTTTGGTTAATGGTAAGTATATAACTCGAGTGAGTTTGAGGCTTTAGTCAGTATTCTGTAGAATAATCAGTTTAGAGTTATTCAAAATATTGATGATTTACTTGAAACAAAAGTACCTTGACTTCTTTTAAAGCAATTACAACATACGTCTTTAAAATCCATGTCAATGAGTTCTGGCTAGAGCTTTACTCCCACAGTCCATGGTAGCACTAGATTCAACGCCATCTGGTGTGACTGGATCACCACTTCAAAAGTTCTTTATGAAGAACTTTAAAAGCTGACATGTTTAAAATTGAAAACTAAAGCTAATACGCTGTGGTAAAAACACTTACTACAAATTGCTGATAATACAGTCAGTCCTTGCTGTTATACTACTATTAATATACCATTTCTAATGATAAACAGCATTTGGCTTTTATTTGGTTTTCATCACTGATAGATGATCCACTGCACCCCAAAATAAATGTCAGTGTTCCCCCTTTCATTTCACATTTAAGAGGGCAGTGGCAAAGAGAATAAGCCACTCCTATGTTACTGTCTTGGAGAAGAGGAAACAAAGATTTAGATGATGATCTTAAAAGATGAGATAACGTGTATATGGCTTTCTTCATGTCAGTGAGGTTGTAGCAGTTAGGATAGAGATGATATGTACCTTTTCTACATGCAAGACAGAATAATTGAGATAAATAACTGCCTAGAAGCAAACAACTTAATACCCCAAAGTAGAAGATCATAGACACTGAAATAGAAATAAGGGAGGTTGTCCAGATTTGTTTCTGGGAGAATGGAGATACTTTTCACTGGTCCTGCACAGTGATAGAACTTCCTGTGGTGTTGGAAATGCTATCTCCACTGTCCAATTTGGTCACCATTAACCACATATGACTTTGGACATTTGAAGTGTGGCCAGTGCAACTGAGGAGGTGATTTTTTTTGTTTTGTTTTGTTGTAATTAATTTACTTTTCGATTTTTTTTTTTTTTTTTTTGAGTCTGGCTCTCACCCAGGCTGGAGTGCAGTGGTGCAATCTCAGCTCACTGCAACCTCTGCCTCCTGGGTTCAAGTGATTCTTCTGCCTCAGCCTCCCAAGTAGCTGGAAATATGGGTGCCCACCACCATGCCGTGCTAATTTGGGTTTTTTTTTTTTTGAGATGAAGTCTTGTTCTTGTTGCCCAGGCTGGAGTGCAGTGGTGCAATCTCGGCTCACTGCAACCTCTGCCTCCTGGGTTCAAGTGATTCTTCTGCCTCAGCCTCCCAAGTAGCTGGAAATATGGGTGCCTACCACCATGCCGTGCTAATTTGGGGGTTTTTTTTTGAGATGAAATCTCGTTCTTGCTGCCCAGGCTGGAGTGCAATGGTGCAATCTAGGCTCACTGCAACCTCTGCCTCAGCCTCCTGCGTAGCTGGGATTACAGGCACCTGCCACCATGCCCGGCTGATTTTTGTATTTTTAGAAGAGATAGGGTTTCGCCATGGTGGCCAGGCAGATCTCAAACTCCTGACCTCAGGTCATCTGCCCGCCATGGCCTCTCAGAGTGCTGGGATTACAGGCGTGAGCCACCATGCCCAGCCAATTAATTTAAGTTTAATAGCAACTTGTGGCTAGTAGCTGCCAAATCAGACAGTGCAAATATATAGTAAAGGTGGAGTAGCATCAAAATCAGAACCAGTGAGCTTGACCAGATAAATTTTCATGTTCCTGAAATATCTATCTCCAGCTAGATGTGTAGGCTACGCAATATATATAAATGTGTTTATATATTTTTTTGTTTTTTAACGGATTCCTTTAATTATTCTAGTAAAAAGTCTAGAAAAGTACAGTTTCAAAGCTGCAATAGCACTAAGGAGCATCAGTCAAGTCCTCTCACCTCAGTTCATCCTCTGATCTCCAAGGGTTTTGAAACTCAGATGTTTGTTTCCACCTTGTCATGTTTCATTGCATCTTTATCACTTCTGCAGCAGTTCTCCAGAGAAAAGATTATAGGTAGTAACTCATAATATCCCTTTGGTATCAAAACTGGTATTTCCTATATACTAGTTGGTTAATATGTTTCATTATCTGGAGCTTAGGATTCATTGCCTCTGAGGTAACTGCCACTGAGGCAACATGCTAATCCTCCTGTGAGTTTCCCTTCTCTCCAGGGTGATACTACTAAAAGAAAGAAAAGAAAGAAAGAAAGAGAGAAAAAGGCACTGTCTTTTTACCCTAGCCTCTGTGTCTCAGGAAACAGATATCCAGAATTATATGGTGGCTTTCTTCATATCAGTGAGGTTGTAGCAGTTAGGATAGAGATTATACATACCTCATTGATTTGCAACTAATACAAAGTTTAAATTAATTGAGAGCAGGCAAAGAATTAAAAAAACTAAAACAAATAAGTACACTCACATTCTGTATCTGTACACCTACCCCATTCATTGTTGAAAACCCTGTGCCTGAATTAGTCTGCAGTTGCTACTGTGAACTTACCCATGTACAAGTGACACCAATGTGAGAATTCTTGAAAACTAGAGGTTGCCTTTCCCTGTAGTAAGGAGTGTGCTCTATGTACACAAAAGAAATGTTGTTCTACAGAGAAACTTGATTATGGGAGTTATTGTTTTGTTTACTTATAAGGTTTAGCAGCATATTGTTTAGTGGGATTTAGTTTATTATTTAGTTTAAATTTAGTGTCCTAATACCTGTTTTTCCTGTCTCCTAGAAGACTGTAACTACAGCTTCTATGATTACCACAAAGACACTACCTCTCGTCTTGAAAGCAGCAACTGCGACCATGCCTGCCTCTGTGGTGGGCCAGAGACCTACCATTGCTATGGTGACCGCCATCAACAGTCAGAAGGCTGTGCTCAGCACTGATGTGCAGAACACACCAGTCAACCTCCAGACGTCTAGTAAGGTCCCTGGGCCCGGGGCAGAGGCTGTCCAAATTGTGGCAAAAAACACAGTCACTCTGGTAAGCCAGCAGCTGCTCCTCATGTGTGATCACATGAGAAGGTTAGGATATGCATTTGTATAGTAAATCCTTCGTAGGTTCCTGCTGGATTTCTCAGTTTCCGTCATTCTTCTAGCATACTAAATTCCCCTTTGGGGCTGAGAAGGGAATATGGCATTTCTGATACCTTCCCAAATCACTACAGAGGTGTCCTGACGCCAAGGACCAAACTCAGTGCATTATCTGAGGTCAAAGTATGACTTGATTTTAGGGGGAAGGTCTCCTTCACAGAGGTATACACACTGTTTAATTTATCTCTCCCTCTGCCTTCACCTTGTCGACAGTGTTTTCCTGTGAAACTTGAGTGCTTAAACTCTCTTGTGCTGTATTACCGCCTTGGTGAAACTCTGATAATTCTTTTAGTTTAACATCCCTTTAAATTAGTTTAATATCCCTTTAACTCCAGTACCTAGAAAGTACTGGAGTTAGTTGGGGCACTTTTAAAATATTCAAGAAACTCACAAATTAACAGTGTCAGTGCCCAGTCTTGTCAGGGGGAAAAAAAAAATCCCTTTAAGGAGGAAGTACTTGAACGAGAATTTTCATGAGAGTTCTAGGATCAAGCCAATTAGAAAACTGATATTCTCAGAAGTTTGGGAGAAATAGATCTAAATTTTCATATAAAATTCTCTTAAAATGGCACCTAAGAGGTCTTGATGGCTTTTGAATGATATCAGTGGTGAGTGAAACTAGAGAGCAGCAAAGTGAAGCTTCACCACTTACCCAGGAATCCTTAGAGAAGCAACCAGATCATTCAGCCAGATACTGAGAGTTAGAAAATTTTCTATTCACTGTTAGATAAAGCTCTATCAGGAAAAAGCCTATTTGGCTAAGTAGAAAGTTTGATTTTACTTTGGATCCAGTCTTGACTTTTAAAATATATAAATGCAAAAGTTCTCGAATGTCAAAGGAAATTGTCTAAGATTTACTGAGCCTGCTATGTTCTACATTAGATGTGGGAGGAAACAGAAGTGTGGTTGGTTCACTTTATAGGGTAAAGCACGCAGGTGGCAAAGTGAAAAAGTTTCCTAATGCAGTGTTAATTCAGATGATTAACTTACGCTGAAAGCTTGTAGAAAACATTGTCTGATCCAAAGAAGAGTGATGCTAAGAATACTAACTTTGAGTTTGAAGAGTGATTGTTCTCTCTGGCTTATTTATCTTCCTCATTTTTTAGCAGGTTCAGGCAACACCTCCTCAGCCCATCAAAGTACCACAGTTTATCCCTCCTCCTAGACTCACTCCACGTCCAAACTTTCTTCCACAGGTGAGTAAAACAATGACAAGCCCAGTGATAGGTTAGACGGGACAAAAATCCTCCTGGGCTCTTCCTAAGTATCCTGTAATGGGGCTTGTCAGCCCAGCTGTCTATCCCACTTAGCTAAAAATTCTGACTGTTGATTTCTGTACCATGAAGAAGCTTATTTTGTCATCATGGTTTATTAGCAATGACCAAAGGTGGTAGTAAGGGGAAGTAAAGGAAAAGGAACATTTTCTAAATTTAAAGTAATTAAAACCATTATAAACCTTAAACTTACTGGAAGAATTTAGCCAAAGTCTGCCTGGCAGTGGGGAAAGAATGCAATTAACACTTCTTATTTCTTTCCTGCATGCCAAAAAAAGTAGGGACGGAAACAACAGCTAAACCAACTAGCAGGAACCATTCAGTTCTACCCTGGAAAGTGATGGTTTTGAGCATCATGCTTAAAGGCAACGTCTTGCTTCTGAAGGCTTAGGTTAGGGGTCTATACAGGGGACTTCCTCCCTAGGCCCGAGTAGCTCTATATGACCATATTCTCCTGAGAGTGTTCTTCTAGCAATTAGGCTAACTTTCACCATTCTCAAGGCAAGATGTCAAGATTTCCCCCTTCTGGACCTCGAAGAGTGTTGACTTGCTTGGTAGAAAGTCTGAGATTTCCTATCTGAGGCGCTAGTTTTCAGACAAAGAGAAAAGAAGGAATTTTGTGGTCAGTGGCGTAAATGATTTCCAGATAGCCTCTGGAGAGAGGATGGGCAGTGCTAATATGAGATAAGATAATTTCAGTTATATATCAGATAAATCCTTAATAAATACCTTGGGTAGCAAACATTGTCCTAAGCACTGTGGATATTGCCAGTTTTCAAGACAGACAGTTATCTGCCCTCAGAGTGCTTCAGGCACATGCACAGCCAATTACTGTGCCCAATATGGGAAGTAAAGGACAGTCTGAGATCCCATGAGAGAGATAGCTGCCTATTATTTCTTTTTTTTTTTTTGAGATGGAGTCTTACTCCTGTTGCACATGCTGGAGTGCAGTGGCGTGATCTCGGCTCAATGCAACCTCCACTTCCCAGGTTCAAGTGATTCTTTCCTCGGTCTCCTGAGGGGGATTATAGGTGTGTAACACCATGCCTGGCTAATTTTTGTATTTTTAGTAGAGACGGGGTTTCGCCATGTTGGCCAGGCTGTTCTCGAACCCCTGACCTCAGGTGATGTACCCGCCTTGGCCTCCCAAAGTGCTAGCATTACAGGCATGAGCCACCGCACCTGGCCTATTTTTAAGAGTATTAGAGAAGGTTTCTTCAAGCTTTCTTTGATGAGTTGACATTCAGTATGACCTAAAATCCTAGTTGAGTTAGCCTGCTAAAACTTTGGAAGAAGAATAAAAACGTCCTAGACAGGCTGGGTGTGGTGGCTCACACCTGTAATCCAGCATATTTTGGGAGGCCAAGGCAGGTGGATCATGAGGTCAGGAGTTTGAGACCAGCCTGGCCAACATGGTGAAACCCCATCTCTACTAAAAATACAAAAATTAGCTGGGCCATGGTGGTGTGTGCCTATAATCCCAGCTGCTTGGGAGGCTGTGGCAGGAGAATGGCTTGGAACCAGCAGCGGGCAGAGGTTGCAGTGAGCCGAGATTGTGCCACTGCACTCCAGCCTGGGTGACAGAGCAAGATTCCGTCTAAAAAAAAAAAAAACGTTCCAGGCAGAGGATGGAATATATATGTAGGTCCAGGATAGAAAGGTGCATTAAGTTTAAAGAACCAAAGGAGGTTTGCTATGCCTGAGCACAGAGGGCCATGTGGCTCACGCAGGCTAGAGTGAGTTAGAGTCGAGGCTGGAGAAGTCCACTAGGGCCAGAGCTGGTGGAACCTTGTAGGCTATGTAGGAATCTGGCCCTTATCCTAGGAGCAGCAGACATTCATTAAAGCATTTTCAAGCAAGTACTTGATGTGGTCAGATTTACGGTTTAGAAAATTCCCTCTTGCCTCTGTGCAGAGAATAAATTGGGGATGATCAAGAAGATTGGGGCAGCAAGAAGAGTTAGGACGTTGTCAATAATGATAATAACCCATGTTTAGAGTATCTTGCTATGTACAAGGTACTATGCTAGGTGCTTTACATGGGGTGTCTATTTTAATTGTTACAACAACCCTGTGCAAATAGGTATTACTCTTTTTAAGGTAAGGAATCTAAGGTTTAGTCCATGTTTTTCAAACAGTGGATCATGACTCATTTGTTATGAAAGCAAATTGTAACCAGGGTGTTTAAATAAAATGAAAAGAATAGAGTAAGAACTATTAAGAGTACAGAGGATATACTGTGTTCCCCCATTTCAGGAAGTTTTCGTTTTTAGAAATATATGTCTATAGGTGCATACTAATTACAGAGTAAAATATATTTCTTACTGTTAGTGGCACCCACCACAGGGTCATTTTAAGTTCAGCCAAACATTCATACCGACAAGACTTTCATGGGCCACCCTTGGCACCAGTCTACTTAGAATGATATAGGACAGAAACCATAGCTTGTCAGCAAGATAGCACCAGACATTTGTCTTCAATGTGAGTCCATACAGTTGTCCCTACAGCTGTCTAAGTATAGCTCAGGTGTAAGGAAATGAGTTGCTTCTTTAGGATGGTGGGAAAGCCAACTTAGCATAGAAGCCTTATGCCCACAAGACCCAGTATATTTTGTGTCAACTACATAGGCAAAGCTTCAAGGTCCCCACAATGGATGTGCTCAGGTTATGCGAGACACCCCACTTAGGGAAGCCAAATCATAGTGTCCCCTCAAGCCCATTCAGATTTGATTTAGCAGTAAGGGATTTTTTTTTTTTGAGACGGGTCTCACTCTGTCACCCAGGCTGGAGTGCAGTGGCACTTTCTCAGCTCACTGCAACCTCCATCTCCTGGGTTCAAGCTAACCTCCTGTCTCAGCCTCTCAAGTAGCTGGGATTACAAGCCACCATGCCTGGCTAACTTTTGTAGTTTTAGTAGAGACAGGATTTCACTATGTTGGCCAGACTGGTCTCAAACTCCTGGCCTCAAGTGATCCACCAGCCTCAGCTTCCCAAAATGTTGGGATTACAGGCATGAGCCACTGTGTCTGGCCAGTGAGGGGTCATTTTTATCATAAGCAGTGTTTCCTGGTATTTTGGTTGACATTTTTACCCTTAGACAAGGTTTCCAGGAGAGCAGCGCTAAAGAGTTAATTGAAGATCAGACTTCATGCATAAGGGGAAAGGGTTTTGCCCACAGGGTCACAGTTTTAAAAGTTTGAAAAATACTGGCTTATGGTCAGATGCAGTGGCTCACACCTGTAATCCCAGCACTCTAGGAGGCTGAGGCAGGCGGATGACGAGGTCAGTAGATTGAGACCATCCTGGCCAAGATGGTGAAACCCTGTCTCTACTAAAAATACAAAAATTAGCTGGGCATGGTGGCGCACACCTGTGGTCCTAGCTACTCGGGAGGCTGAGGCAGGAGAATCACTTGAACCCAAGACACGGAGGTTGCAGTGAGCCAAGATTGTACCACTGACCACTGCACTCCAGCCTGGCAACAGAGGGAGACTCCGTCTCAAAAAAAAAACCATACTGTCTTATAAAGATCAGGTATGTTGCCTGAGGTTACACAGCTAGTGAGTGTTAGAACCAAGATTTGAACCCAGGCAAGGCTGACCTCGTGTTTTTAACTGCAACATTTTAATCATTGTTTTTAGTAAGCCAAACATAAACTAGGATAGTGGATAGTGGAGTGAGGATAGAAAGAAATAGACAGATTTGAGAAGTATTTAGCGAGTAGAGGATAGAATAGGAATCAAGAATGATTCTGAAGTTTATCAAGAAAAGAGCATTTACTCAGGCAATTATAGGAAGAAGAGAGGATTAGAAGAAGAAATTAATGAGTCTTAGACATGTATCAAGTTGAGTATAATTCTGAAGTTCAAGAAATGTCTCAGATTCTAAGATAAAAGTGTGAAAATCTTCAGAACATAGATGATAATTGAAGCCATGAGATGGGTGAGAGCTCCCAAGAATAATGAGAACACTGGGAAGAAAAGAGGTTCCCCAGAAAAAAAAAATCCTAAGAAATAACTCACATTTAGGATGAGGCGGAGGAAGAGTAAGCCCACAAAGGAGACTGAGAGGAGTGGCCAAGAACAGGGAATTAGAGGGCCAGAAATGGGGGTAAGCTGAAGCTGTGGATATGAAGAAATTTCAAATGTGAGTTAAGGCTATTGGCAACGTTATCACTATACCGTGTACAAGTTCTGGGTGGGGACCAGTCTCTGGATTAGGCCTTTGACCTAGGCCAGAAGAGGTGGCATGGTGTAGAAGACAGAGCTCAGGATTTAGAATCAAAAGCTGTGTTCTAGGGTGAGGTTTGGACCTCAAGAGCTGATGTGTCTTGTATAAGGTTAAATGCCCTGAGAGCTATAGAATTAATATACCAAAATGAACATTAATAAGTATATTAAACACCATTTCATACATAAAGTGTGGAAGATAATGCTTTTATAGGACTTGAGCAGCTTAAGTAATACAATAATTATTCTCTCTTTCCCCTATAGGTTCGACCCAAGCCTGTGGCCCAGAATAACATTCCTATTGCCCCAGCACCACCTCCCATGCTCGCAGCTCCTCAGCTTATCCAGAGGCCTGTCATGTTGACCAAGTTCACCCCCACAACCCTTCCCACATCCCAGAATTCCATCCACCCCGTCCGTGTCGTCAATGGGCAGACTGCAACCATAGCCAAAACGTTTCCCATGGCCCAGCTCACCAGCATTGTGATAGCTACTCCAGGGACCAGACTCGCTGGACCTCAAACTGTACAGCTTAGCAAGCCAAGTCTTGAAAAACAGGTACAGGCAGAGTATGTACCTGCTCTGGGCAGTAGCCTTGCCATTGAGGCGTATGGCTGCTGGGCTGTCTCTAAATACATTTTCTCAAGGGCTCTTCATCTCACCACCATTATCAGTAACCTGTCGCTTATCGTGCGATAATTCATCCATGTGCAGAAGGGTCATTTTTACTGAAGAAAGTTGGGTTGCTTTTCCCACCATCCTCTGGTAGATGGGCTCAGATTCCTGTGTGAGTGAGCTCCCCCTGCTGGTTTTGCTGTGGAAATTCACAGACAGTCTCAGCTGCCCTCAGTCAGGAAGCACAGATGAGGTAGTAAACAGAAAACGCCATGTTAATTTCGGCCCAATAAGAATCCAGATGAAGATATGACTGTGAAAGTCAGGAAGAGTAAACAAAACAGGGAAAGGGATTTCATTTCAAAGACTTTTCTTTCTTTGTTACATATAATGGGGAGCCAAACAAAAAAAATTAAAATTTCCAGAAAGCATTCTTTTAACTTTAGAAGATGCAGACATTTTAGCCCAAATACTGAAACATTTCATTTATATTTCCTGAAGTCAGGTTTTATCTTTAAAAATGAGGCTAGAGACATACAAGTAACCTGCAAAAACACTTTAAGTTTCTGTAGCAGAAAGGTCTCTGAAAACAGCAAAAAAGGATAGGCAGTCACTGTATCCTATTTGAAAAAAAGACTAGTGATAAGAAAGAAGAATTTGGCAAACAAAGGCATTCTCTCTCAAGAAAGTCGCTTTAAAAAGTCATCTACCTATTTTTAATTGTTCGGGCTTGACTTCTCATTTATCTGAAAATAGTCTGTGGTGATCTTGAATCTTCTGCTTCTGGATGGCAGACCATAATTCAGAGAGGCTGTTCAGATGATGGGGAATGAAAGAGCTGCCTTCTGCCTTAGTCTCCCTGAGCAGAGGAACCTATGCATAGAGCACTAGGCCTTAAACCCAGGCAGCTCACAAATACAGCAGACCTTGCACTCAAGAAGCCAGGTATCAAAATCTGTGCTTAGGAAATACAAGAACACATCTCTATTCCTGGTGAACCTATTCAAACCCCAGCAAGTGCTTTGAGAACATTCAGAAATGAATTATTATTATTATTATTATTATTATTATTTTGAGATGGAGTCTCGCGCTTGTTGCCAGACTAGAGTGCAATGGCTCAATCTCGGCTGACTACAACCTCCACCTCTTGGGTTCAATCAATTCTCCTGCCTCAGCCTCCTGAGTAACTGGGATTACAGGCATGTGCCACTACACCTACAAGTAACCTACAGCTAATTTCATATTTTTAGTAGAGATGGGATTTCTCCATGTTGGTCAAGCTGGTCTCGAACTCCCTACCTAAGGTGATCTGCCTGCCTTGGCCTCCCAAAATGCTGGGATTATAGCCATGAGGCACCATGCCTGGCACAGAAATAAATTATTTACATTATTTTAAAACAGAAAATTTCAAACTCACTCCCAGCAGAACTTTGGTATTAGACTACTGAGAGTCAGATGCTCAAGCTTAGGAGTTTGAGTAGGGACATGCTGTCTTGTGCTAGCTCTCAAAGAACCTCTGAGGAGCCTCAGTGTTCCACAGAACCTGGTTTCACAACACTATTTTAGGTTACTAAATATTATTTCTCTTTTACCTCTTTTTTTGATAAAGATATTCTTAGGAGACAAATTATTTTGGTTTCACTTTATTTTAAAATTTCTCTTCTGATTACAAAGATAATACAAGTTCATTTTTAAAACAAATTCAAACATTACAAAAATATAAATTGTAGAAAATGCCTTTCCTATAATCTAAAGAGAGAGTAAACTTTTGTCATGATTTTCTCATAATTTTACCCCCCAGAGATAATTACTATTAACAGTTAAGATTATTTTCTTACAGACATTTTCTTTTTTTTTTTTTGAGATGGAGTTTCAGTGTTGTCACCCCAGGCTGGAGCGCAGTGGTGCAATTTCGGCTCACTGAAACCTCCACCTCCCAGATTCAAATGATTCTCCTGCCTCAGCCTCCCAAGCAGCTGGGATTACAGGCGCCTGCCACCTCACCTGGACAATTTTTGTATTTTTAGTAAAGGTGGGGTTTCACGGTGTTGGCCAGGCTGGTCTTGAACTCCTGAACTCAGGTGATCTGCCCACCTTGGCCTCCCAAAGTGCTGGGATTACAGGATTGAGCCACTGTCCCCAGCCCCCAGATATTTTCTGTGTACATGTAAAACATTTTTAAAGCAAAAACCAAAATCAAGCTATGTATTTTGCAATTTGAGTTTTTTTCCCACTTTAATAGATCTTAAACATCTTTTCATGTCCTGGCCTTCATGTTGATAGAGCTTTTTATTTTAATTTTAGTATTACAAAAAGATATCCATGAATTCTGAAGAATTAAAATAATTTCCATTGTAGCAGTAAATGTCATGGTTTCTCTTTTTGGTCTAATAAAGAAATTCAGGGCTGGGCGCGGTGGCTTACATCTGTAATCCTAGCACTTTGGGAGGCCAAGTTGGGTAGATCTCAGGATTACCTGAGGTCAGGAGTTCAACACCAGCCTGGCCATCATGGTGAAACCCCATCTAAAAAAAAAAAGAAAAAAAGAAATTCAGTCATTGTTATTTATTTTAGTTTGATGGGCAGCCTGGCTTAATAGTCTTAGTAGTTACCAAGCTCGATCAGCAGAGACTCTCTTTAGACTAGATTGCATTCTCAGGATTCTCTTACCTCATATCTTTCAACTATCCTTTTCTATTTATATTTCTTTATCAGTATCACATTTATAGCCATTGAGAGATCTCTTAGATCATAGAGCTAAGAGGAAAGCAATGTAATATTTGTAGCCATGGAAGAACCTGTTCACACCTGTTCAGAGTTATCAAACCTGTATCCAGCATTCTCTATATGACCAGGCTAAATGGGTTCCCTTATGCTTTCTGCTGTTCCCTTTAGATGATAACATCATTCATTTAATAAAAATGTGTTAAGTGCCAGTTGCTATGCTGCATGTGGTTTCTATATATAAGGTGGATAAACTAAAGCCTATACCTTCACAGAACTCAGTTTCTAGTGTGTTTGGAGCAGGCACTGAGGCTGTGTCTCCAGGGAAGGAATCATGGCTTCCCACATTGGCATAGGAATGGGAAAAGGCAATGCCAGCTATAACGACAGTGGTCTCACTTGTCCTTCCCCTGTCAGACATAACCAACTTCCATATCCACCCAGATAAGAGATGTCATCCCTCATTAGAAACCACATTACGTTGTGGCTCTGAGAAAACAAGTTGGTAGGGTTTTAAATCTTTGAAGCTGAAGACTTGTTTTAGACAGAAAAGTAGATGAAGCCAAAAGACTTAGGATATAGCCTCCACATAGCCTCTCTTTGTGTCCTTGTCTCTCCAGCACTCTAAAATGGGGCTAACACCTGTTGGTGATGAAATGAGATAAAGTATTTAATGTTTATTAGACTATGCCTGATGGGGTTCTCAGAAATTACGTTTCTTTCTTATTCACCGCACTGCACACCTTGCAACAAAGTCTTCTATGTATGTCTCCAAGGCTGAGCTACTGAAAAAAATCCAAGATTCTATGGGGGAAAAAATTGCCACATTACCCCTACTTCCATATATGTTTTTCATAGGAACCTGCACAATATACCCTAAAGAGGAGTACTTAACAAAATAAGAATATTATCCAATGTATTATCTTTAAATTTCTGTTTTCCTTGTTGGCAAGCCCGAGCTGATATCTCCCCACCCCATTTTAATAATGGTGCTATAGTAGGGAAAGTAGATCCAAGTGACCAAACATGGATTTTGCTTTGCCTTCAATCCCAATCTGTTTAACCTTGACTAACAAAATTATTTGGACATTTATTTGCACCTGCCTAACTTTCGTTTTTCATGCAGACAGGTATACAGGGTACACTTGATTAACTTCATTCTAGATTTATGCAGAGTTTTTGGATTCTTTTATGATACCAAAAAGAACAGGAGTTGCAGATTGAAATAACCATGGGTTCGAAGAAGAGATGTAAGTGAGTAAAACAAGCTAAGAGTAAACAACCGGACTTTTTATTTATTTTTCCACTTTCAGTGGGAACATGAGTACAAGAGATATCCCACTTTTATTCTTAATTCCCCTTTAAAATAATAAGTAAGACAAGCATGATAATAATCGACAATAGAAAATGGAAGAAACTGTGGCAAACTGCACAGTAATGTGCTTCATCTCAAGAAAGCAGCTGCTTCTTGGCAATAACAAATTTTTATCACATGGAGACTTTTTCAAGAAAAGCCTGAAATCCAGATGTTGTTAAAAGTTGCCTAGTTGTTAAAATACTGGTAACTGTTTAAACACCATAGGCAAAAAATAACATCTGCAAGACCACTTCAACTCTGGATAATGGTTTATACTCTCTGATAGAGAACAAACTTTTAGACTCATTGAAGAGATATTCATGAATTTGTTTTGTTTTCTAATCCAGTTTTTTTTTAACTGAGGTGAAATGACATAAAATTAATCATTTTAAAGTGAACAGTTCAGCAATATTTAGTATACTTCAGTATTGTGCAACCACCACTTCTATTAAGTTCCATAACATTTTCATTACCCCAAAATAAACCCAGTATCCATTAAGCAATTACTTAACTTCTGCCTTTCGCCCTCCACCCTGCCCCTGGCAATCACCAATCTGTTTTCTGTCTCTATAGATTTACCTGTTCTGGATATTTTGTATACATAGAATCATCCAACATGTGACCTCTTCTGTCTGGCTACTTTCACTTAGCATGTTTTTGAGATTCATCCATATGGTAACATGATCAGTGCCCCTTCTGTTTTAAGTGACTAATATTCCATGACATGAATATACCACAATTTGTTTGTTTGTTTATTCATTCATCTCTTGATAGACTTAGGAAATCATAAGACATTGGTTGTTTCCACTTTTTGGCTATTGTGAATAGTACTGCTGTGAACATTCATGTGCAAGCATTTCTA